AAAAAAAAAAAAAAAAAAAAAAAAAAAAAAAAAAAAGGTGAAGGGTATTATTTAAATTTTAAATGACTTAGAACAGAGGCCAGATGGTGAATATCTGGGGTGCTGCGGGTCCATGCAATCTCTGTGGCAGTGTTCTTCCTTTTCTTTTTAGAATGTAAAAACCATCCATAGCTTGCTGGTTGTACAGGCTACCGGCCAGATTTGGCCTATCGGCAACAGTCTGCCAACACCTGACTTAGGTAAGATTACTACTCAATTATTAGTAATATGGATTTAAATAACCACTTTATTTTTAAAATCTACTCATCTTGAGTTAGCTTATTCAACCAACAAGAGGGAAATAAGACAAAGATGCTCACACTAATAAATCTTGATTAGCCATTAACTGTTTACTACCCCCTCCATTCCCATACCCAACTTCAAAAAGAAAGGTAAGTAACAATCAAAAGGAAAACCAAACATACTATGAAATCAGAACATGGAATCTTCTATACTTCCAACATCTAGAATTCAACAAATTACATTTATTTGGTTCTTTACAGGTGACACAGTACTTTCACATAATTGTCTCATTTCAGTCATATTCAGAATTAGGATCTGAGGCACTACCAAGAACCTGAATAAGTAATACTTTAAGAAAAATAAAAAATGTGACTGTTCAGTTTTAGAAATATAGTTAAGGAGGGTTAAACAAAAGTTCTAAAATAATATCAACTTTCAGCATTCTACTTAATGTTTTAATAAACTTAATTTAAAAATGATGTAAAAAGGCTGAGTGTGGTGGCTCACACCAGCACTTTGGGAGGCCAAGGCGAGCAGATCACTCGAGGTCAGGAGTTCAAGATCAGCCTGGCCAACGTAGTGAAACCCATCTGTACTTAAAATATAAAAAATTAGCTGAGTATGGTGGTGCACACCTGTAGTCCCAGCTACTCGGGAGGCTGAGGCAAGAGAATCGCTTGAACCTGGGAGGCGGAGGCTGCAGTGAGCCTAGATCGCACCACTGTACTCCAGACTGGGTGACAGCGTGAGACTCCATTTCAAACAAACAAAAAAGAAAAATCACACAGTGCCAAGACTAGTAATTTCAGGTCTACACTAGCCCTATCCATAGCCTTTGTTGGAATAAAATATGAAAAGAGACAGTAGAAATGATACCTAAAAATAAGGACACTAGATGCTAAACAGTCCTAAAGTCAGTAATAATAACTGAAAGACAGCTATGAGATGAGTATCAACTACTATGTCCCAACATAAGCGGCTTCCATACACTATTTTACTCAAACTACCAATAATCTCAAAGCAGGTATTCTTACCAACTCCACTTAGTAGATGGGGAAAGACAGGTGGGATAATTAAATTACTTAGCCAAGACCAGATGCAGTGGCTCACACCTGTAATCCCAGCACTTAGGGAGGCCAAGGCGGGTAGATTACCTGAGGTCAGGAGTTCGAGACCAGCTTGGCCAACAAGACAAAACACTGTCTCTACTGAAAATACAAAAGTTAGCCAGTTATGGTGGCATGGGCCTGTAATTCCAGCTACTTGGGAGACCGAGGCAAGAGAATTGCTCCCAGGAGGCAGAGGTTGCAATGAGCTAAGATCATGCCACTACCCTCCAGCCTGGGCAACAGAGTGAGACTCCTTCTCAAAAAAATAATAAATTACTTAGCCAAAACCAATGAACCCAAAGTCAGACTACAAAGTCCGACTTTGAAGTCTGCATTAAACATGTTTGAACAGAGCAAAAAGAAAGCTGCAAATGGTCCTCGTTTACACAGGGTACTGTTGCCAGGAAGAGGTCACAAAGGCAATCTACTTATATCAGAGAAGGAAAAGGACAACAGCAAAACATAAAAGGCTTTAAAATGAGAACCTTTACCTTGAAAAATTAAACCCAAATATATAGCAATAACTTGATGTTGTATGTAATACCAAGTAGGTTTTAACAGCAATTATCTCATAATTTTTTGTAAAAACAAAGAATGATGCTTTAAAAGAGAATAATTTGAATTCAAAGATGAGAAAGTGCTTGATAAAAGCAAAACTTTTAATAATTTTACAAAAATAATCCTCTTTATGAACATGCTGACATCTCAGATATGAGGGGTATCATGTAGTACGGTGGAAAATTTCCTATACAACTTCATAAATGCAGGAAGTATCAGGGACTAAGATAACACAATCGCAGATGAGGGAACTTCACTCCCATCCTTCCCATACCCACCACCAATAAAGACATTTAAGAGTTCAGCAACACCAACAACGACAGTTGGGCGGATTGACACAAGAAAATGTCTAAACCTTCCATCACCTCGCAGGATAATTCTGAAAATTCATTGTGCAGATAAAACAGTTAATTTTTAAAAAATGCTTATTTTTGAACACTGCACTGAGAGTAGACCCCAAAATCCAGTTTCAAGAGTGTGAGATAAGAGGCCTACAAATCACTCTGTCCCTCACAAACTCCCTGCTCATTCTCCACATTTGCCTAGGATATTCACTCTATATGGAATATCTTTTTCCTAGCTGATTCTACCTGTTCAAATTTTATTGCCTATCTGAAGCCATTTTTGATTACTCTGTTACACGCCTCATCTAAACTCTTGGACCATTTACTCTATGATAAGCAGTTTAGAACTTTATAACATGTGGTAGTCTCATGCCAGTCTAATTATTGTCAGAGATGTTGGTCCTGTGTTCTAACTCACAGAGGAAGCCTTTTTTCCTTTTATTTTGAGAGATGGAGTCTTACTCTGTCATCCAGGCTGGTGTGCAGTGATGCAATCTCGGCTCACTGCAACCTCTGCTTCAGGTTCAAGCAATTCTCCTGCCTCAGCCTCCTGAGAAGCTGGGATTACAGGCATGCGCCACCATGCCCGGCTAATGTATGTATTTTAGTAGAGATGCGGTTGGGTGGCCAGGCTGGTCTTGAACTCTTGATCGCAAGTGATCTGCCCACCTGAGTCTCCCAAAGTGCTGGGATTACAGGTGTGAGACACCATGCCCAGCCTCACTTAGGAAACTTCTTAGAGCAACTTAAAGTTGTTCAACTATGTTATACATCTTTATTATGTTTTTCTAAGTCTAGTACAGCAGAATGTATACAATTATTATTAAAACCACCTTAAGGACTACTAAAAACATGGCCAGAATATAAGAAATAAAATATTGTTTGAGAGCCTATTAACAAACTCAGCTTGTGAGTAATTTCAGGGAATGGAAAGTTGAGTCAAAGAAAAGGGGGAAAGATTTTAACAGCTTTCCATGGATTTTATTATAGATTTTATGTGGAGTAATCCACAGAGTATGTAAGACTAGTAGGTACTAGGCACTCAAAAAATGTTTATCATACATATACTTAAGAATACTTGTCAAGAAAAAAGCAATTTTAAACATGGCTTGCATTACACAGAAATTACCTGGTTTAAGGGCCATCATGTGACCTGAGAAGTTCTGAGAGTTTGATCTGTACAGACTATGAGTGCCAAACTCCTCTACCATATTATAATCCTTTGCCTATTCTTAATAGATATTCAAGTCCTCAAACATACCTTACCCTATGTCTGCACCTTTTGAATTTTTTCATTATACCAAGAAGGTCTTGAAACTTCCTTAAGATTATGAGTCTGCCCTGCCAAGCTAAAGGTATATAACAATACATATTTATAGTGCAGATTAAACAAGAATATACTAGAATGTGTCTGCTCTGAGAAAGCATCTCAGCTCAAATTAAAGCGAAACAACTCTTTTAATGAAGGGACTTCTCAGAGCCCCTAATTTGCTGATACATACTAAGGGCATTGGTACTTAAAATTATTTACCTGTAAAGAACTTTTTTTCCAAGACATACTAAGCAGAGAAAAGCAATAACCTCTGCACATATTGGTTCCAATTTCTTGCTCTGGCTCATTAAGTATATTCTTTCAAAACTATCCATATAATCACAGAAAAATGTTTTATACCAACACACAAATGTGTACATATTACCAGATGCAAAAGTTTCAAACCAATAATCTAAACTCTAAACATAAGTAACATAAGTAAACATAACCAACTCTAAAACATTAAGGTAGCTCCATATCCTCTGATTGACACATCAATACCTCCTCTTGGATCGTTCTCTGCTCCTATCTCTAGAACTGTGCCGACTTCTCTGGTGGCTACGGCTGCGGCTACGGCTGCTGGAGCGGGACCTGTGGCGATGGCGTTTCTCCCGAGATTTAGATCGAGTTCTCCTCTTGCGTTCACGTGACATGGAGCGAGATCGATGTCTGCGATGCTCTCTGGACCTGGATCTACCAGACAAGATGTGATTTTGTTTTTACCTTTGTAAGTAATACATTTCTCATTTATTAAAGCCTATTCTTTAATGAGAAACTTTTTTAAGTATTCTTACTTAATGACAATTATATTGCAAGTCAGCTAACTCTACACTAAATTGCTGGTGTGTTAACAGCTACATATTAGAATTCAAAAATAAAACACTAATAATTCTCAGCCAGGCACCGTGGCTCACACCTGTAATCCCAACACTTTGGGAGGCTAAGGCAGGAGGATCGCTTGAGCTCAGGATTTCGAGACCAGCCTAGGCAACATGGCAAAACACTGTCTCTATAAAACATACAAAAATTAGCTGGGCACAGTGGCACATGCATGTAGTCCTAGCTACTCAGGAAGCTGAGGTGGGAGGATCACTTGAGCCTGGGAGGTCAAGGCTGCTGCAATGAGCTATGACCATACCACTGCAGTCCAGCCTGGGCAACAGCGTGAGACTCTGTCTTAATAAAAATAACAAAACAACATAAAAAACAAGACACTGATCATTCTCAGAGATCAATCAGTATTTTTTTTTTGATCAATCAGTATTGTATAAATTTATATCAGAAATAGTTCTTCAAGTGAAAGCAACTTTTGAACCACTACTATATGCCAGGGACTGTATTTAGATGTGTTATGAATTTCATTTAAAGATTTTATTTTGAACATTTTTTGTATTCTCTAGAAATTAAATATGCCTGACAGACCTGGACAGAAGGGAAGAGATGAGGAAGAATACCGTTCAGGATAAATTAATTACTCCCTCTGAATTAGAAAGCTGAGATAACCAGAGAAGTAAGTGTTTAATGTCCATAATATGTGTGCCTAGTTGCACTGTAATCAAAACAGAGCAAGGGCCAGGAGTGGTAGCTCACACCTATAATCCCAGCACTTTGGGAGGCTGAGGTGTGAAGAATACCCAAGCCCAGGAATTCAAGGCTACAGTGAGCTGTGTTCACATTCCAGCCTGGGTAACAGACAGCAAGACAAAACGTACACAGTAAGACATTTCTCTATTCAAGGAACACAGTTTGGGAGAAAGAAAACTTGCAAAAATAATTTTTGAGAACTTGACTCAGATTGCAAAAAATATATTTCTAATGAGTATACAGAAGTATAGAAGGAAAAACATTCTGAAAAGCCAGAAGATTTACAATCCAGGTGCTGGCAAAATAAAAATATTAAAAAAAAAAAAAAAACCCAGATGGTAAGACACTTTTATAGCCTTCACCAGGTCACAAACTAACTTGGGGTGGGTCGGGGTATGTGATGAGGGTGGAAATGACATGCAGAGGACATAAACATGTGATGGAAAACAAGGGAAAACAGAGGCATACAACTTTGTTAGAAGAGTCACTTTAAGAATGATGAAAATGTTCTTAACTGGATTATGGTGACAGTTGCACAGCTTTACATTTGCTTAAAAAAAAAAAATCACTGACTTAGGAGTAAATCTTTTTATACCTCAATAAAACTGTTTAACTTTTTTTTTTTTTTTTTTAAGACAAGGTTTCACCATGTTGGTCAGGCTGGTCTTGAACTCCCGACCTCAGGTGATCCGCCCACCTTGGCCTCCACAGTGCTTGGATTACAGGCGTGAACCACCACACCCAGCCAAAACTGTTTAAGTCACTTTAAGAATGTGAGATTTGCTCATAATTTGATACAGCAAGTTCAAAATCATACAGATGAGATAGTTCACAAATAGGGTAAACTTATCTTCAACTGATTACTTTGTTATAAAGGATGTTTAAAAGCATTCAGCTTATATCAACATTATAGTCAAAGAAAGGCATATGACATGAACATAGCTTTAGCCATACTTAAAGAGAGTTACTTCTGGCTGGGCACAGACGCAGTAGCCTGCGTCTGTAATCCCAGCACTTTGGGAGACTGTGGTGGGAGGACTGCTTAAGCCCAGGAGTTCAAGACCAGCCTGGGCAACATAGGAAGATCCCATATCTACAAAAAAAATTTTTTTAATTAGCTGGATATGGTGGCACACAGATGTGGTTCCAGCAACTCAGGAGGCTGAGGGAGGAAGACTGCTTGAGCCTGGGAGATTGAGGCTGCAGTGAGCTGTGTTAGCACTACTACACTCCAGCCTAGGCGACAGAGTGAGACCCTCTCTCAAAAAACAAACTATTTCCACAGTTAAAAAGAATAATTCCAAAAGGAAGCAGAGGGGAAAAAATATAAAACGCTTATCAAATGATCTTTTGTTTAACCACTCATTTTGAGTTATTATGAATGCTATTTCTTCCAATGTATAACTTTATTCATCTTTCAAAAAATTCTAGATAATTCATTCAAAAAATATTTACTAGGTCTTTTTGCACTGTTCTACGTACCAAGAGAGGGCAAGTAGCAAATAAGTTCCTGAACACTTAGCGCTTATGCTCCAGAAAGGGATCTATACAGGTTTGCAGGCAGTAAATAAAGACATGTCAGGTGACTTAAAACATCTATTACCAGGCATGGTGACTCATGCCTGTAATCCCAGCACTTTGGTAGGCCGAGGTGGGCTGATCACTTGAGGTCATGAGTTCAAGACCAGCCTGGCCAACACAGTGAAACCCTGTCTCTACTAAAAATACAAAAAAAACTTAGCAGGGTGTGGTGGTACGTGCCTTGTAATCCCAACTGCTAGGAAGGCTGAAGCAGGAAAATCACTTGAACCTGGGAGGAGGAGGTTGCAGTGAGCCCAGAACGTGCCACTGCACTCCAGCCTGGACAACAGAGCAAAACTTCGTCTCAAAAAAAAATTTTAAGATGTATTATGTAGGGTGAAGAAAGAGAAAAGAGAGGTAGTATTTATACGGAATAAGCAGAAAGGCTTTTCTGATAGGATGGCACTGAAGCAAAGCTGAAAGAAGAAAAAGGGGAACAAGTGAACCAGCAATCTCAGAGAAGAGTGCTTCAGGCTGAGGGAACACAGATGCAAAGGCCCTGAGGTGGGAGAAAGGCCAGTGTGGCTGGAATGAAGTGAGCAAAAGGGAGTAACATCAGGGTCTTACAAGGAGGATGACCAGGTAACTTTATCATTCAAACCAGAAGGCTCTGAATAAGTTATTGAGAAGCTATTAATAAATATTCTGAGATAAAAGACATAAACCAGAACTATCCCAGGACAGTTTGGGCTATACCAAGCTTGTCCAACCAGCAGCCTGCAAGCCGCATGCTGCCCAGGACGGCTTTGAATGTGGCCCAACACAAATTTGTAAATTTTGTCAAAGTATTATGAGATTTTTTTTTTTTTTTTTTTGCAATTTTTTTTCCCAGCTGATCTGTTATCATTAAT